AAAAAAAAAAAAAAAAAAAAAACAATGATTTGTCCATTTCTTTTGAACACTCAATTTCATGTTTCATGTCATTAGTGCAGAACAGATACAATAGATTCTCTTTCTAAATTGGGAAACCTAAAAAAGTGGTAAAAAAATTGAAATAATAATAAAATTCTCATTTATTTCACCAAAATAAGGATTCTTGGTTGCAAAATTTGGTAAGTGCTTCAATTTTAAGCCATAAGCACTTGTTTGCCCAAATCTTGAAGCAATTGGAAATGGAAGAGTGAATGAATGTGAAATGAATGAACACTTCTAAACTTTCCATTGCTTTCTTTCTAAGTAATTTTGAACCCTATAGTAAAGAGAAATCGATGCTCGGACTCCAAAATTGTCCAAAATTAAAAGGGTTGACTTTAAACTAACACGACGTCAGCATGATTGTGAAATTACATTGCAGTTTCAGTTTTATGTTTGCAATTAGATCAAAACGTTCTCGTTTAACAACCTTGAATCGCCTCTCTATCAATGAGTGTTTATTGCTTTGTCAATTACTTGAATTAGGGGTGCTCAAAAAATTCGATGACCAAAAAAACTCGATCAACTGGTTGGGTTGGGTTGGGTTGAGTTATGAAGTTATTAGAGAGGACTTGAGCTTGAATAAATAAATACTTTATAAATTGGTTGGTTCGTGAGTTTTCTTGAATCTAGATTGAGTTGAATCAAACCAACCCGAATTTATTATTAATTTTAAAATATACATTTTGATTATGCTACAATTATATATACATATATTTATTTAAGTTTATAATTGTTTATTCTCCGGTAACTTTTTAAATAAGTTTTTTTTGGATATGAGGAAGGCAATTTTTCAAAATATAAATTGAAATTTATTTGTAAATTTGAATTAAAGGTTTGAAAATAAGTAAATATATATTTTACGAACAAACCTTTCACCTTTTGTTAAAATAAAATTTTGAATAAGTAACGGGAAGAATTTAAACTAACGAAACCAAAAAAATGTATCGTTGGGTGGGTTGATGGTTGGGTTGGATTAGGTTATTATTTAATAAAGGGTGCTTGAGTTGAAAAGTTTTCGAACCGAATTTGGTTGGGTCTTAAAAATATGACAACCCGACCCAATCTAACCTACAAACACCTCTAGCTTGAACAATCACCAGAAAATCTCTACGATTAGTCTTTGAAATTGTGAATAAATGTTATAAATGAAAGTTTTTTTTTTTCACGAGAGAACTTAGTGTCTAATTCAACCTATTTGGATCCACAGCATCGGGTTGGAGAACATTATCGAGCTTGACTCATCTAAAGGTTCAGTTACCTTAAATGCTCCCAAGAATGTCACTCATGTACCTCTCAATTATCTCCATATCACAATCCATGAATTATAACAAAGATATATCAAAATTTAGTGATTAAATTATAATTTCAATAGTTTAAATACCAAATAAATCCAAATTTCTAAATTTATATTGTTTCAATTATTTAAATTTTTGTTAGAAATTAAATATAAAAAAAAATTTATGTATTGAGTATGTCATGATCCATAGCCATTTTTAGAAAATCGATTAAATTGGTTAAAAGTATTTTTTTAATAGAATTAAAAAAAATAGAAATACAAAGGGAAAGGGAAAGAAAATGAAAGATCTTAAACTATTAAAACTATTAGTACGTTTTAAATTGTTTTGTATGAAAATAATATTATAACAAATATATATAAACATTTCAACATCCGAAGGCTCTAATCATGCAAAGAGTTTAATGTCCACATGAAGTTTAACACGTGGACCATTATAAAATTTAGCGAAATAATTTTGCAAAAGTTTGAACTTTAAATTAATGTCATGTGGCTCACATAAGTTGACGATTTCATAAGACGAAATCAAACTTTCCTTAAGGATAAATTGGTGACACTAGATTAAGCTAATTAAGTGGTCTTACTATCGACGTGATTAGAAGTTGGGTTCTATATAAGGACATGTGTCCCGTGGTTTTACACATGTCATATGTTTGTTATGTGTGAGATATTTATGAAATGATGTATGTAAAATGATATGTTGATGATATGATACATGTGATGATATCTTGACGATATGATACATATTATGATATGTTTTATGATATGATATGATATGTTGAAGAATATGTTATGTGCATGATATGACATAATACAATATATGACATGAATGATACACAGTAAATATATTTTGACATGATCTACAACCCCAATATATGTTTTAAAGGCTATGATATAAATTGATATGATATGAAGGAAAATGGGAGCGGTTGTTTTACATGGTTTAATGAATGTGAAAAATGTTGGGACCTCATGTATCACTGTATGTTAATATGCATCAGGGAAAATGATCATTATGTTTATCATGATGCTACGACGGTCACTATTTCTACTGGGAGTCCGAGAATAACACCAAAGAATGTTAGCCCAAACATGAAAGGGGCTTAGAAGGTGTGTGAACCGACTAGTGAGTCCATATTCACATATACGAGCCGTGTGTAGAATAGTAAATACACATTCAATGACCCGTTTAGCGTAGCCACATCAGAGAATACGACTTTAAAATTATGGGTCAAATTGCATATTTTCGCAACTACCCCAATGTTAATGTGTTTTCAATGAATGAGAATATGCATTTTCAGCCATTAGTGCTAAATGATATATGTCGTATTTAGAAGCTAGCAAACTATTTGACTTATTTTGTTCAAAATATCTTCAAATAAGATGGTTTCTTGGAAGCATTTTAATATATTTATGTCATAGGATAGGTACAAAAATATTCAAAAATATTCAAAAGAACAAGAGGAATGAGAGTAAAAACAATCTCAATCTCATAACATGGAATTCAAATTTAAAGAAAGATGATAATACATTTGATAACACTGTAGAATACAAAAGCTTATAAAACAAAGTTAACTCAATTAACCAAATACAACTTCAAATATTGAAGTTCCTTGCAGACCATATAAATATTAAGAATATAACTTATTTATAAATGTAAGGAGATTGTAAATGTAGGGTGGAAATTTGTAAAGAAACAGAGGAGGCGGTGGTGAAGATGTTGGAGGTGGTGAGTTAAAGTAGTGTGGAGATGGTGGAGGAGATTCGTAGAAGTGTGGAGTTTGTGGGGATGGTGACGGTGGTGAAGGAGATTCTTAAACATATGGCGATGGTGAGGAGCGAGACGGCGGTGGGGGAGACTTATAATAGTATGGTGGAGGAGGTGAAGGAGATGGTGGTGAGGGAGATTTGTAGACATATGGAGGTGGCGGTGATGGAGACGGCGGAGGGGGAGATTTGTAGACGTAGGGAGGTGGTGGGGATGGTGATGGTGGGGGAGGAGATTTATAGACGTATGGAGGTGGCGGGGATGGAGAGGGCGGAGGGGGAGATTTATAGACATATGGAGGTAGTGGTGATGGAGACGGTGGAGGGGGAGATTTGTAGACGTATGGAGGTGGTGGGGATGGTGATGGTGGTGGAGGAGATTTATAGACGTATGGAGGTGGTGGGGATGGTGATGGTGGTGGGGGAGATTTGTAAATATACGGAGGCGGTGGAGAGGGAGACGGTGGTGGAGGAGACTTATAATAGTATGGTGGAGGAGGTGAAGAAGATGGTGGTGGGGGAGATTTGTAGACATATGGAGGTGGTGGTGATGGAGACGGCGGAGGGGGAGATTTATAAACATATGGAGGTGGCGGTGATGGAGACGGTGGAGGGGGAGATTTGTAGACGTATGGAGGTGGTGGTGATGGAGTTGGTGGAGGGGGAGATTTATAGACGTATGGAGGTGGTGGTGATGGAGAAGGCGGAGGGGGAGATTTATATACATATGGAGGTGGTGGGGATGGAGATGGCGGAGGAGGAGATTTGTAGACGTATGGAGGTGGTGGGGATGGTGATGGTGGTGGAGGAGATTTATAGACGTATGGAGGTGGTGGTGATGGAGACGGTGGAGGGGGAGATTTATAGACGTATGGAGGTGGTGGTGATGGAGATGGCGGAGGGGGAGATTTGTAGACGTATGGAGGTGGTGGGGATGGTGATGGTGGTGGGGGAGACTTGTAGACGTATGGAGGTGGTGGGGATGGTGATGGTGGTGGGGGAGACTTGTAGACGTATGGAGGTGGAGGTGATGGAGATGGTGGAGGCGGGGATTTATAGACGTATGGAGGTGGCGGTGATGGAGACGGTGGAGGGGGAGATTTGTAGACGTATGGAGGTGGTGGGGATGGTGATGGTGGTGGGGGAGACTTGTAGACGTATGGAGGTGGAGGTGATGAAGACGGTGGAGGGGGAGATTTGTAGACATATGGAGGTGGCGGTGATGGAGACGGCGGAGGGGGAGATTTGTAGACATATGGAGGTGGCGGTGATGGAGACGGCGGAGGGGGAGATTTGTAGACATATGGAGGTGGCGGTGATGGAGACGGCGGAGGGGGAGATTTGTAGACATATGGAGGTGGCGGTGATGGAGACGGCGGAGGGGGAGATTTGTAGACATATGGAGGTGGCGGTGATGGAGACGGCGGAGGGGGAGATTTGTAGACATATGGAGGTGGCGGTGATGGAGACGGCGGAGGGGGAGATTTGTAGACATATGGAGGTGGCGGTGATGGAGACGGCGGAGGGGGAGATTTGTAGACATATGGAGGTGGCGGTGATGGAGACGGCGGAGGGGGAGATTTGTAGACATATGGAGGTGGCGGTGATGGAGACGGCGGAGGGGGAGATTTGTAGACATATGGAGGTGGCGGTGATGGAGACGGTGGAGGGGGAGATTTGTAGATGTATGGAGGTGGTGGTGATGGAGACGGCGGAGGGGGAGATTTATAGACGTATGGAGGTGGTGGTGATGGAGATGGCGGAGGGGGAGATTTGTAGACGTATGGAGGTGGTGGGGATGGTGATGGTGGAGGGGGTGATTTGTAGACGTATGGAGGTGGCGGTGATGGAGATGGGGGAGGGGGAGATTTGTAGACGTATGGAGGTGGAGGTGAAGGAGATGGTGGAGGCGGGGATTTATAGACGTATGGAGGTGGCGGTGATGGAGACGGTGGAGGGGGAGATTTGTAGACATATGGAGGTGGTGGGGATGGTGATGGTGGTGGGGGAGACTTGTAGACGTATGGAGGGGGAGGTGAAGGAGATGGTGGAGGCGGGGATTTATAGACGTATGGAGGTGGCGGTGATGGAGACGGTGGAGGGGGAGATTTGTAGACATATGGAGGTGGTGGGGATGGTGATGGTGGTGGGGGAGACTTGTAGACGTATGGAGGGGGAGGTGAAGGAGATGGTGGAGGCGGGGATTTATAGACGTATGGAGGTGGCGGTGATGGAGACGGTGGAGGGGGAGATTTGTAGACATATGGAGGTGGTGGGGATGGTGATGGTGGTGGGGGAGACTTGTAGACGTATGGAGGGGGAGGTGAAGGAGATGGTGGAGGCGGGGATTTATAGACGTATGGAGGTGGCGGTGATGGAGACGGTGGAGGGGGAGATTTGTAGACATATGGAGGTGGTGGGGATGGTGATGGTGGTGGGGGAGACTTGTAGACGTATGGAGGGGGAGGTGAAGGAGATGGTGGAGGCGGGGATTTATAGACGTATGGAGGTGGCGGTGATGGAGACGGTGGAGGGGGAGATTTGTAGACATATGGAGGTGGTGGGGATGGTGATGGTGGTGGGGGAGACTTGTAGACGTATGGAGGGGGAGGTGAAGGAGATGGTGGAGGCGGGGATTTATAGACGTATGGAGGTGGCGGTGATGGAGACGGCGGAGGGGGAGATTTGTAGACGTATGGAGGTGGTGGGGATGGTGATGGTGGTGGGGGAGACTTGTAGACGTATGGAGGTGGAGGTGAAGGAGATGGTGGAGGCGGGGATTTATAGACGTATGGAGGTGGCGGTGATGGAGACGGTGGAGGGGGAGATTTGTAGATGTATGGAGGTGGTGGTGATGGAGACGGCGGAGGGGGAGATTTATAGACGTATGGAGGTGGTGGTGATGGAGATGGCAGAGGGGGAGATTTGTAGACGTATGGAGGTGGTGGGGATGGTGATGGTGGTGGAGGAGATTTATAAATATATGGAGGCGGTGGAGACGGAGACGGTGGTGGGGGAGATTTGTAGACGTATGGAGGTGGAGGTGATGGAGATGGGGGAGGCGGAGATTTATAGACGTATGGTGGTGGGGGAGATGGTGATGGTGGTGGAGGAGACTTATAATAGTATGGCGGAGGAGGTGAAGGAGATGGAGGTGGGGGAGATTTGTAAACATAAGGAGGTGGCGGTGATGGAGAAGGCGGAGGGGGAGATTTATAGACGTATGGAGGTGGTGGGGATGGTGATGGCGGTGGGGGAGATTTGTAAATATACGGAGGCGGTGGAGAGGGAGACGGTGGTGGAGGAGACTTATAATAGTATGGAGGAGGAGGTGAAGAAGATGGAGGCGGGGGAGATTTGTAGAAATATGGAGGACGTGATGGAGATGGTGGAGGAGGAGATTTATAGACGTAAGGTCGTGGTGGAGATTTATCATAATCTGGTGGTTGTGGTTTATCACGTGGAGGAGGAGGCGACTTATAAATATAAGTTGGTGGAGGTGGGGATGAAGGTGGTGGAGGAGATTTATAAACATATGCAGGAGGTGGTGATGGAGATGGCGGGGGTGGAGAATATAACGGTGGAGGTGGTGACTTATAATAGTACAGTGGCGGCGAAGATGGTGATGGTGGTGGTGGAGATTTGTAATAGTACGGTGATGGAGGTGGCGGTAAGGCATAAACATACTGATTCTTACCTGCAACGACCGTCGTAGCAAGAAAACATAATGCGACAACCGAAAACATTGGGAGCCAATGCCCCGAAGGTTTCGAAATCTCCATTTCTTTGTCCCACTAGATATCTAATGGGGAAAGAGCGAAGAAATATGTTTTTATGTTTAATGAACATGTTCCAAACTCCTTTTATAGTGATTGTTCTTGACAAAATCAAATTAAAAGAAAAAAAAAACATTTTTTGTTTAATACAAAATAAGAACAAGAACGTGTTGGGAGGGATCACTGTCGGCAAAATGAACCAAGAAACATTTAAATGTCTCACAAATGCAAGAACAAACATTCCCCTTACCCAACAAATGGCAACAAACAATGTTTGACAAAATCGAATTAAAAAAACATGCCTCATAATTATATAAAGTCAAATGAATATAATAAACTCAATAATGTGTGTGTATATAATATAGATATATATGTTTTTTTTTTTTTTTTTGAGACATGCATGGCACTTTGTTTGGGCTTAAAAGAAAGAGTTGAATCACACATGTGATATTCCATTTTGGTTGGAGAGGAGAACGAAACATTTGTGCCAGTAACGACGCTGACCGCAAAGGGGAGTGGATTTTGTTAGACGAACACGACTCTTTACAATGGTATGATATTGTCCACTTCGAGCATAAGCTCTCATGGCTTTGCTTTGGGCTTCCCAAAAGACCTCATTCCAATGGAGATAGTATTCCTCGCTTGTAAACCCATGATCTTTCACTAAAATAACCAATGTGGGACTCACTCCTAATAATCCTCAACAGATTTGGCGGGTCCCACATCGATTAGAGAAAGGAACAACTGCCAACGAGGACCCTGGACCCTGAAGATGGGTGGATTGTGATATCCTACATTGGTTGGAGAGTAGAACGAAACACCCACATTTCTCTAGCATACACGTTTTAAAGCCCCCTTAAAGGAAACCCCGAAAGGGAAAGCCTCTGGACTTGGGCCGTTACAACACATGCTGTCATAATCTTATACTACTAGATATCAACTCGAGCATAGTTAATTTGTTAAGATATATATTCTCGATTAAGAATCAAATGTTCAGAAATACAAAATTTATATATTTTCTAATTTAGACGGTGCAAAATTAGTATTATTTGATGTCAACACGAGCATATAATTCAACTGGTTATAAAATGTATTATCGACTAAGTGACTAAATATTTGAATTTCTACCAAAACACGTTGAATTAAAAAAAATATATAATTATATGTCTAGGTGCATTCTTATTTAGTTAATAAAGTCAAGTCATATATTATCATATTTCTAACCATCAAGTAGTTGAAGGAATTGATTATTCACATGATATAAACCTTAAACCAAACATGTTATTAAAATAACCATAGATGAGGTCCTATAATAATATTAGACAACTTATAAGGTTATGTTTTTAAGAAATGAGAGTGACACCTCATTTATTAAAAGAAAATAATTAAGAATTGCATAATGAAATTCAAATGGTCAACATTTGAGACGATAACAGTTATTTTATATATTAAACTATCATCGAATGAGTTTACAAGATATTATATCAATAAATTACTGAGAGAAATAAATTAAGTGTGACGTTTTCTTCATTATTGTTTAGGTTTAAATTATAAATTTAATTTCAAAATTAGATTCCTGAATTTTATTTTTCGTGACGATTTAGGAGAACAAATCACCCTTCATAAAGGTGTGGAAACCTTCCTCTAGCAGATGCGTTTTAAAGCCTTGCGGGGAAGCCCAAAGAGGACAATATCTACTAGCGGTGGATCTGGGTCATTACAAATGGCAATGTGCCAGCCTTCTTGCTGTTCCCCGGAGGGGGGTAGACACGAGGCTGGCAGGACACTGGGCCCTAAAGGGGGTGGATTTGGGGGCGATCCCCACATCGATTGGATAAAGGAACGAGTGTCAGTGAGGACGCTGGTCCCGAAGGGGGGTGGATTGTGATGTCCCATATTGGTTAGGGAGAAGAACAAATCACCCTTTATAAGGATGTGGACGATGTGCCAGCTTTCTCGCTGTTCCTTGAAGGGGGGTATGTTGGGTCTCGAAGGGGTGGATTGTGATGCCTCACATTGGTTAGGGAGGAGAACAAATCACCCCTTTACAAGGGTGTGGATGATGTGTCAGCCTTCTCGTTGTTCTCCGAAGGGGGGTAGACATGAGGCGGTGTGCCAGTAAGGACACTGGGCCCCAAAGAGGGTGGATTTGGAGGCGGTCCCATATCGATTAGATGAAGGAACAGTCAGCGTCATTTGGGGACAGTCCCACATCGATTGGATAAAAGAACGAGTGCTAGTGAGAAGTGGTATAGTATTTAAATCACAAGTCACGTCTTTTTAAGGTACAATCAAATATTTGAATATTAATTAATAAAACAATAGTTGAAGTAATGATTGAGAGAAATTGTTGACATAGAAACATGGTTGGAAATTTAGCACATGGAGCAACAGCTTGTGAAAATATTAATGATGTATTACAATAAACATTCCTATTTTAATAATTATTGGAATAATACGTCTTACCTTTGACTCTGCGCAACTTACAATTTTTTTCTCGTTCTAGCTCGACATGTCAACTTTTTTTTTAATTTTGTTCTTACCGTTTATATTTATTATTCTATTCAAATGGATGTTTAGTCTTAAAGAATATCACGTAATATTAAGTTTTATTAAAACATTATTCCTACTATATTATTTTCGAGGGATGTGTTTCCTAAAATATGTGTTTTATTATGTTTTATTTGTTCTTCTGGCGGCCACTACCATCACTGATTGGCAAGGACTTTTCATTGAGCAGACTCAATGCTATCTCGAGCAATCAAGAGATCGAGGGTTGCAAGTAAATTTACAAGATCAAGTATAAAGCATATGGCTCGCTTCAATGTCGGTTCATTTTCTACCCCAATAAGACGTGGAGTTAGTAACCCTGTATTTTGGTTTATTAAAATATAATATTTGAAGAATGAATATATTAGTTGTGGAATATATGATATTATACCTTAATATTCTTTCCTTTGATTTGTAGTATATTTTATTTTATTCTCGATATTTAATTTTTATTTGTTTTATTTTATTCTTGATATTTAATTTTGATTGATAATATATTTTATTTTATTCTCAATATTTAATTAGTTTAAATTTTGGGTAGCTTATAGACTATTGAAAGGTTATGAATATCAATGAAAATACACACCTTCGATCCCAATTCTATTTCTCATTCTCAACAATCTTTCCGTTCCAACAACCCGCAATATTTTGGGTAGCTTAGAGTATTTGAAGTACAAAACCACTCAAAACCAAAACAAGATTTTAGATTTGGAACCCAAAACCACTCGAACTCAATACAAGGAATCAAACCAATTGTAAAGTTCTAACCTTTACGTCTCATTTGAACCCAAAAAAAATAATAAGTACGTAAGAGAATAAGTAAATAAATAAGACTCCGGGAAAGGAAAAGTAGACAACTTGGAAAAGAGTATCAGATAGGAAAATATGAACGAGTACGAAATAGGGGACGATGATGACTTATTATATATACCTCTTGAGTTTAACAAGCAAGGTAGCAGCTCGAACCTTTTGATCGAGGATATAAAACTATAACAATAAAAGAAACATCAATCGTAACTACAAAGTTACAAAAACGATAGAAAATATCTCATTGATTCGAAGCTTTGCTCCCTATACTCGAGAGCGCTCGGGCGCTCGCCCCAAGACCAAGACTCAAGAGATATCAAACCCAATCCAAACACTGATAAAGCTAACACAAGGAACTAATCTTTATTCACTTTGGCACTCCATATTTTCACAAAAATTGTAATAACAAGGTTCTGTTCTTCTGTCATCTAAACAATGAACGGAAAGGCTTAGCGTTTTGATGTATCGCCAAACACCTCTTTGTAGCATATGGGGCAAGCCTGCACAACAAACCATAAAATTACTCACTCAAAACACTCCTAAAGGGCTTTGGTCTCGGTTTAGAGTTATTCGTAGAAGCGGTATACTCTTAAGTTTCATACCTTGTTGATGCTAAGCCATTTGGTTCCACAACCGGCATGGTAGATATGTTTGCACGGCAGAGTGATCCGTCGATCGCCTCGTTTATAATCCATCTGGCATATCACACATCTACATCCAAGTAAGAGGAACAAACTTAGACTCAGCAGGAAAAAGAAACAAACTGGAACATATATTCCAATAAATGCACACATCATGAACTAAGATATACCTCTCTCCACGAAATTTTTTCCTCGAGAAGAAACTATATTTGTATTTTGATATTGGAATCAAAGCGATCAACTCTTGCGAAAGACCTCGACTTTGAGTTCCTACTGTCTCGCCCAACTCTAGTAATTCCTGAACTTGAAATATTATAGATTTTTATTCAATGATTGAAAAAAAATGCATACATTCGAAGACGATTAGATCGGATGACACATAGTATAAAGTTTGTTTAGCATTAGTTCGAAACAGACATAACATCATGACCTCAGGATAATAGTTCAGCAGGCAGGCCTATCACAGAGCCCATTATCTTATCAAACAAATTTTCTGAATTCAATAACATTGGGTGGGGGATTCGAAAGGTAACGACCCAAGCCCACTACTAGCAGATATTGTCCTCTTTGGGCTTTCCCTTTTGGGCTTCTCCTCAAGGTTTTTAAAACGCGTCTGTTAGGGAGAGGTTTCCACGCCCTTAAAGAATGTTTCGTTCTCCTCCCCAACCGATGTGAGATCTCACAATCCACCCTCCTTTAGGACCCAGAGTTCTCGCTGGCACTCATTCCCTTCTCCAATCAATGTAGGACCCTCAATCCACCCCCTTCAGGACTCAGTCTCCTCGTTGGCACATCGTCTGGTGTCTGACTCTGATACCATTTGTAATGGCCCAAACCCACTTCTAATAGATATTGTCCTCTTTTGGGCTTTTCCTCAAGGTTTTTAAAACGCGTTTGCTAGGGAGAGGTTTCCACACCCTTAAAGAATGTTTCGTTCTCCTCCCCATCCGATGTGGGATCTCCGCCTAGTCGAGGATGCCCATTGGCCTACGCTTAGGTTGGCGTATCCTTATCAAACTAATTACCCAATAATCATAGATGTTTTAATGTCTCATCACGTTCTGGCATGTCCTCAACCTAGAATTTTTCCAAGTGCCTGCAGTTATTCTATCTCGTCTAGTTCAAATCCTTGTTTAATATCAAAGGTAGCTTCAAGAATTTGGTAAATCTTAAAATTGATATTAGAATTCCCATGGTTTATCTGTCCCCATTACTTGGTTCTTCTGACTATGGGGTTCCATATATTGATGGAAATTGATACTTTCACTTACAAATAAAAAGAAGACAAGTTAACAAAAACTTTGTCAAATGCACTAACCTCGTAAGTCATATTATCAGGATCTACATTGTCTTGCCAAACAACCTACACTTAAAGGTAAAGACCCATTCATCAATGATCTTGAGATTAAAAAAAAACACCCTGCCAAACATGTTTCAAGTAGAAAGTTGATTTGTCAAACCATATAAAACCCACAAACCTGAAAATCATGTGAATTACGATGTCTCCTTGGACCTGTGAGAAAAGTTGTCATTAGTGCTAGAGAGGAAAACTATGAATCATTTAGAGGTAACGCGATGACTAAAAATTCAAGGGAGATCGTGTTTCAAGAACCATATTCCTTTTTGGTGTTCAACTAGACAAAAACTTATAGAAATCTTCAACAAGCAGTGTTTTTTTCCAGACGTAACGTTCATCCGATTGTATGTATTCATTTCAATTATGTTCAATGAAGTAGTATGTGTCACTCCTACTAGAACGTTGTTACAGAAGTAAATATTTTGCATACTTGTAGGAAACCTCAATGGTGAACCCAACAGATATTAGACAATTAGAAAACCCTTTTGGATGATGCTGAGAAGTATCACTTACATTCTACATGGTTGTCAAAGGCTGTAGTATTTGAAATTTCTTCAAATTCAGGATTTACTGTACTCTGTACATTAGGCTGAGTAGAAAAGTTTTCTAGCCTTCTATGTTCATAAATTACGGGTTCGTGATCATGCATTCTATAAGCTTGAGGTTGGTTGTAATAGGTTGGACTACCAAAATCTGAAAACCCGAACTTATAGAAGTTCGAGTTCAGCGGAGGGTAAACATTCTCCTGCAAGTGTGAAACTTAATAAGTTACATTGTCATTTCCATTTACAATCAAAACTAATTAATTACAGCAACTATAGAGAGCAGACTATGGTTGAATTTGAAATTGTTTTGGTAGCTAATAAGCTATAAAGAGAGGAAGACAACTTTCAACTTGAAAGAAGATTCGACTCAAAAGGTGTGAAATCCCACGTCGGTTGGGGAGGAGAACGAAACATCATTTATAAGGGTGTGGAACCTCTCTCAAACAGATGTGTTTTAAAACCTCGAAGAGAAAGCCCAAATAAGACATATTTGCTAACGGTGGGCTTGAACTATTACCAATGGTATCAGAGCCTGACATCGGCCGATGTGTCAGTGAGGAGGCAAAGCCTCGAAGGGGGTGGACATGAGGCGGTGTGCCAGCAAGGACACTGGGCCCGAATGGGGGTGGATTGAGAGTCCCACATCGATTGGAGAAGGGAACAAGTGTCAACAAGAATGCTGGGCCCCAAGGGGGGGTGGATTGTGAGATCCCACATCGGTTGGGGAGGAGAACAAAACACCCTTTATAAGAGTGTGGAAGCCTCTCCCTAGTAGACGCGTTTTAAAAACCTTGAGGGGAAGCCCAAAAGGGAAAGCGCAAAGAAGACAATGACCGTTACAAAAGAAAGGTCAGGAAAAACAGAAAAGACAAAAAAACAAAATAATCATAAGCTGCGAGGACGATGATGTTCGGTAAATTTGAACGCAGAGAACAGTGTAACAACAAAAAAACTCCCAATTCAAAAGTTCAAGAGCAAGGAACAAATCAAGTTCAGGAGTTTAGAACACAGAAGCAAGCAGATCTGAAGTACCTGAGAATGCGAAGCATCCGAAAAAATGAAATTTACGTGTTCGTAGGTAAGACCTTCAAAATATTCCAGAAAACTTCCAGCACTGTTATAAGGATGACTGGTATTAACATGATGAACTTCTTCTGTATGCGTGTTGTTCCAACTCATTTCATATACAAATGAATCCAACAAATATTCTGTACAATGCAGAAACATCACAAAACCCAATGAATACTAAGCCACTCCAAACAGTTCAGCAAAGCCAAAATCCACTACAAGAGTTCATCAAACTGAATTGTTCCAGACTGAATTGTTCCAAGCAGAAACGGAAGTAAACCCGGTTAGATGAACACGACTCTCCACAATGGTATGATATTGTCCACTTTGAGCATAAGCTCTCATGGCTTTGCTTTGGGCTTCTGATCATTCCCTAAATTATCCGATGTGGGACTTTCATCCAACACCTCCCCTCGAACAAAGTATGCCTCCCCTTAATCGAGGCGGTCGAGCCTCGATTGACTATGCCTTCGAGGCTCACAATACTTTTTTCGACATTTGAGGATTCTATTGACATGGCTAAGTTTAGGGCATGGCCCTTAATAAAGACTCACTCTCATGGCTTTGCTATGGGCTTCCCCAAAATACCTCATACCAATGGAGATAGCATTCTTTGATTATAAACCCAGGATCATTCTCGAGGTGGGACTTTCATCCAACAAACCCAGTTTTATTTTACCCCTAAATGTGAGACACAGGACATGAATTACAAGAACATAGAGTTTATGATATCACAGATTGAAGAAGCAGCAGTAATTCAGTAAACACAAACACAAATTACACAGATCAGTCAAGAAATTTCGCCTAAAACTATCCGCCATAGCCAAAACCTGTCTCAGCAAATCTCTAAGCTAGCAGATCCCATAAGAAAACTGATAGAATCCAAGTTCTACAAAATCATGCAACAATCAACCAAAGAAGAACCATCAAAGAGTACCACATTCCTTCATCATTTCGCAAGCAATTCTTTGAACACAAACAGAAAACCCAAAATGTAGGTTATTTCAAACTCACATTTAAAACGCCGGAGCGATTCGGAGAATCCACCAAGCAACTCCGACGCCAAATCCCAAGAACCAAAAGCTCAGAAGAACATCTGGGTCAGCAGAAAAAGACCCCAATTGGATGAACAAGTAAAGGGAAGGTGTAGAAGAAGAGAAAGGAAGGCAAAGGGGCGAAGGAAACAAACAAAAGCAAACAAAAGGGGCGCTCGAAAACTATAAGAAAATGAAATCGGAGAAGAAATGGAAAGAAAAGGGGAATTGATTCGAAAGGAATGGGGGAAAAGAGAAGGAGAGCGTCTATGATTGAATGATTGTGGTTGATTTGGTTCGGTTGTGTAGGTTTCTCGGCGAATTTGGATCGAAGGCCGAGAGAATTTCTCTCGCTTTCTTTTGTTTGTGTTTGCGTGCGAGAAGAGATTCGTCTTTGATTCACTGTTCAATTACAAATTTCTTCGCTATCGCTCTTTCAAATACATATAGATTAGCAAGATCAGATGCTCTCGTGTTCTAAATGTTTATATTCACATCTCCGATTTAATTAAATTTCACATGGGATAATGGATCAATACTTTTTCTTTTTCAAACTTGCTTCAATTATAACTTCACTCTACAAACTTTCACTTTTTCATTTTACATATATATATATATATATATAGAGGTAATTATATGCTTCATTATTTAGTTCATCCAGTGACGGGATCTATATAGGTTTCGTCGAGAATACCAAGTAGATCGTCAACTATATGCTTCATTATTTAGTTCATTCAGTGACGGGATTTTGTGAGATCCCACTTCAGGGGTAGTAGACGCGTTTTAAAATCGTGAGACTGATAACAATACGTCACATGCTAAAGCAGACAATATCGTAATAAGGTCTATATATAGGGTTCGTCGAGAATACCAAGTAGATCGTCAACTATAGGCTTCATTATTTAGTTCATCCAGTGACGGTATTTTGTGAGATCCCACATCAGGGGTAGTAGACGCGTTTTAAAACCGTGAGACTGATAACGATACGTCACAGGCTAAAGCAGACAATATCGTAATAGGGTATATATATAGGTTTCGTCGAGAATACCAAGTAGATCTTCAACTATAGGCTTCATTATTTAGTTCATCCAGTGACGGGATTTTGTGAGATCCCACATCAGAGATAGTAGACGCGTTTTAAAATCGTGAAACTGATAATAATATGTCACAGGCTAAAGTAGACAATATCGTAACCGTGGACTTGAGTTGTTATAAATTATATTATTGTCAAATACTGGGCAATGTGTCAACGAGTATGCTACACATTCAAAGGATGGATTGTGAGATCTCATATCGAAGTTAGTAGATGTATTTTAAACTTATGAGACCGACGATTATACGTAACACATTATTCACTATTATTTATTTATTTTATTTTCTGGTATGGGTTGTTTGTCGTTTTGTTGGAGGCGATTGGGCGACACGCGTTGAATAACAGGTGAGCGCGTGGGCGATACTTTCTTCAACCGTCCAACTGCCCACTCACCTTCCTTCCATTTTTGGACAAAATGTTGCAAATTTGTTTTTTTTTAAATAAAAATATTATTCATGTAATTACAAAGTGAATAATTTATAAATTATTTTTAAGTCTTATCAACTTGAGCATAATTCAATCAGTTATAACACGCATACTGTTGACCAAAAAATCAAAGGTCTGAATTTTCTACCTCCGAATATTAAACTAAAAGAACGATTAATTTAACTCGCCTACCGTGCGTTTACTTGCTTTATTAGTAGAGATGATCATTTAATCGGGCGATGATCATTGAACCTCTAACATTAAGCGTGTTTTTTCTCGAAGCAATTCTATGATAGGTGACCGACCTCTTAAGAATATGTGAGTGAGAACCAAACATATTGAAATGACTCGGCCATACGGCGGTGAATTCGTTCTCTGGCCTTGTACACACCGCCCGTCACATTATGGGAGCTGGCCGGATCAACCCCTTCTTCTTGTGCCAAAGATCAAATGACTCGGTCTTCACTTTTAAAAGTAAGTAATGTGACCATGTCGCAGGAGATGCAAGGGAATGTGAAGGCCAGGTGCCAATTTCAGATTCTAAATCCTAAGCATGAGTTGATACAAGTGGTATTAAATCAGTACCTCTCACGGTAAGATGTGGTTCGAGAACGATCTTCACATAATCATATCATCTTGAGTTGAGTTGAGTTTACTAAACTAAGTGATTTTTAAATGTTATAATCATGTCATCTCGACATATTATTTATCAATATTTTTTTAGTACAAACTCTATTAATATTACAATCTCATCATATCCAACATGTCTCAAACATAACGAGACAAACCGAACAAGATTCTACATTGGTTCAAAAGGGGAACGAAGCATTTCTGAAACATCTTTCTATTAGACGTGTTTTAAAACTGTGAAGCTGATGGTGATACGTAATAAGACAAAACGAACAATATTTACTAATGGTATGGTTGAGCCGTTAGAAGTTGGATTCGGCTCGAGCGTATGGTTTGGATGATGGTGTCTGGCATGGGTGAAAGCAATGAGAGAGGGGTGAGCAAAGGGGGGCAAAGGAAACAGTGAATATCATTCTTTATTCCTCATGTCTCCTGATGTGCTACAACTGTATTTATTTTCCGTCTCAAATCTCTCCAAAAACTCGAAAATTAAGAGTGGCTGTCTGTAAATGTTTGCTAAATCCACTACCGAGTGAGAGTTCTCTTATTTATAATCATTTACAGAATACAAAAATATGTTAAATTACAAATAATATGAAAATAGCAGTAAAAGAAAATAATAATAAATGAATACAATATATTTGCCTTTAATAAAAGGGCAAATATGGTAAGTCGTAATGTAGGGCAAATATCTAGATATTTGCCTTATAATGAACGGTCAACTATCCTTAACACTGTCACAACTACACGTTTCATTAGTTACCCTTCGATGTTTTTTTTTATTTGGTCTTTGAACTTTTTAAATATGCTTAATAGAATTATAGCGATATAAAATTCTAAATACACAAATTTAAATTAGAATGCAAAATTTAAAATTTAATAATTTAGAAACCGAATAATCTTGTATTTAATGTAATAATACTTGGAGTTTTAAAAAAATAAATAAAAGATTTTTTTTTTCAAAGAAAAAAAAGAAAAGAAAGGAAAGCCGAATGGCACCCACGCAAGTTGGAGAAGATGACCATACCGTTCGGTTAGTTTCTCAACCTTCTTTTTAAGGTATTTGAAGTAAGTCATTTTTACCGGTTTTATTCTTTTGACTTAGGAATTTTGGAGAAATTTGGAATATTTTCAAATATCTGAAACAAGCTCAAAAAGTGCACAATCAAGTAGGTAACCATATGGAGCAAGTTTTTAAGAAATACTCGTAGGAGTCAACTAGGATTGAGAGCAATGATTGAGTGTTGTTATATTTTAGAAGCCTAGTTTGACCTAGTTTCATGATAACTGTGCTTAGGTAATGTCAGCACTTACCACTTACTTTTACTTACCGTTATTTAGCTTCTGCATGCATGATTATGAACTCTGATAGATCATTAGGTTTCTATGCTCTAGTACGGTGAGGTTGGATTATTATCACTTAATGAGCATGACAAGCATGTTGTATGCCTTTATATGTTTATTATGCATGATTTAGGGTTTGGATAGCTCATTGTTACCCAGTTATGAGTTGGAATATCGCTATGTGTCATAGAGTACTAGTTGTGGTATCCATAAACTAGGAGTTATTGTTTCACGTGTTTTGATCCTAGTACCTAATCATGAGTTCCATAGCCTTCTTGGGTTGACTAGGAACCTTGTAGGGACGGATAGGGTGCAACCCTTATTCGTGAACTAACCAATAGGGGTTAGGGTCAACTTGTTACGCATAGCTTAGTTGTCACCCATAGAGGATTTCAGGAGTTATAGAGGGTATACTACTGAAGTACTATCGGTGGTGCCTAGTGAGGAGAGCCATGAACTTTTTATTGTTCCACCCCGAATGACGTAGTGATAGGTAGTTTTACTAGTCTAGCCTGAAAAGGCAAAGTAACATGTCGTTATTATTCATAAGACAGGTAGTTTTATTGTTCTAATCCAACAAGGGTACATGAGCAGGTAGTTTACTATCTAATATGGAAAGATATTGGATAAGTATTTTACTGATCTTAGGAACAAGTAGATGTTGCTCGACACCACTAGGGAAAATTCACTGAGTGGTAATTCACTGATTAGAGCTCAATAGGTAAATATTTATGGAGTACGATCACCTTTTTATGAGTATTACCCTAGGGTTTTTTCATGGGCCACGACGATTTGAGATGCATTTTGCACAAGACTGACGAACCTAGACATATGTGAAACCTAGGGCCAAAAGAAAACAGAAAATCTTTAGGTTGTGAACTTGAGAGCTGAGATTGAGTACTCCTTAAAGGAGGTAGGTGGGTTTAGTGACCTACAAAATTTGGTACAGACGTTAAGCCATAATTTGGCTATTGCTAGGGACAGTTTTGAGCACATAGTGCAAGTTTTCATATATAAGATTAAGTCCGACAAGAGCCTACAAGTAGGTTTACTCATTGAGTACTTTTATACCCATTCCATGTTATTCTATTTTTTTTTTTTTTCAGATGGAGTGTAGATCACAGTTGATGGTGGGAGCGTGTGGAGCCATGCAGCTGCAGGAGGTGTCTTTTAGATCTCGAGACTTACGTATTTTTGTTAACCATTTTAATTTGGCTTCGCGGATATTTAACAGGTTAACTTTACCATTGCACAAGTCGATACACAAAAAGTTCAGCAAAGCGTGAGCGGGCGTGGAGAAATGAAGGCAAGATTTCCTACTACTGTCACCGTGGGAGTCCGGGTGTAACAGCTCAAGTCCACCGCTAGCAGATATTGTCCGCTTTGACTCGTTACGTATCGTTGTCAGCCTCATGGTTTTAAAACACGTCTCTAAGGAGTGGTTTCCACATCCTTATAAGGAATGTTTCATTCCCTTCTCCAACTGATGCGGGATCTCATAATCCACTCCCATGGGGGCCTCATCTTTGATGACACACGCTCGATATCTAGCTCTGATACCATTAGTGAACCCAAGCCAACCACTAGCAGATATTGTTTGCTTTGGCCTGTTAAGTATCATCATCAGCCTCATGGTTTTAAAATACGTCTCTAGGGAGAGGTTTCCACACCCTTATAAGGAATGCTTCATTCCCCTCTCCAACCGATACAGGATCTCATAATCCACTCCCTTGAGGGTCATCGTCCTCATTGACACACCATTTGGTATCTGACTCTAATACCATTAGTAATAGTCCAAGCCCGCCGCTATCAGATATTGTCTGCTTTGGCCTGTTAGTTATCACCATCAATAGCTAAATTTCTTTGCAATTCTACGTAGTTTAGGTTGCATGTAGAATCATTCAAGCTCGACATGATCAATCTTGCTTGTGGAGTGATTCGAATCTCAATCAAGTGTTATTGCCTTGAGATATTTGATCAACAAGAATCATTCAAGCTAGACATGATCGATCTTGCCTGTGGAGTGATTCAAATCTCAAACAATGTTTTTGCCGTGAGATATTCGATCAACAAGGTAATCCGAATCTTACTCCCCTTCTAGTGATTTCCACGTATCAATTTTGCTTGGAACAATTCTATGTTGGATGTGTTAGGATAGCCGAACAACTCACAAATGAAAAAATACGAAGAACCGGTTAGAGAAAATTTAAAGAAAATTTAGAAATATAGAAATTTAATATAAATAGTTGACTCATGTCTAAAGATTTTGCTTAGAAAAAATATATATGGAGAGAATAAAACTCAATTTTGATAAACGTGATAGATGATGTCATATCTATTTTAACTATGTTCGGATAGGGGTGTAAACAAATTAGGTTGAGTTAGTGTCCCGAGTAACACAAATAGAGTTCACAATTCAACCTACTATTTTCAAATATCAAACGTTTATAAGTCAGAACACATCACTAACATCGGTTAAAAACGTAAAGAAATATTCATAATCTTCTTAATAATCTTAAAAGTAGATAAATTAACTTAGTTATAACTCTATTTTCAAGTTAGTCGGGTTGACCCCACAAAAAAAAGTCAACTCGTGGACCAAAATTTTTAATTTCCAAAAAAAAAAAGAAAAAAAAGTTAATTACAAAAGTTAATTTATTTATTTTTTAAATTACAATAATATGAAGAAAATTCGGGAAATGGTCACGTTGACATTTCTGAGAGAAGAGAAGAAGATTACCATTTGGTCTCTTCTTCGATCTTGATTTTCAGAATCCTTCCACAAAACCCTAAACCCTTTCAACCCTAAATTCAATCTTCAATCTTCAATCTTCAATCTTCAATCTTCAATGGCTTCAAATCTCGCTTTCCGACTGAGATCGCACCTCCTTTTGCGGTCCTCAGTTCGTTTCTTCCCCACTTTGAATAACATTCAATCGTCCGCCATACCCAAATCTCCCCCTCTTATCTCCTCTGCACTTTCCGATCTTCGTCGACTTCCCAAAGAGACCGTCTTCAATCTGTCTGGATTTCGGTTTCTCTCAACTGCACGGCGGAATCCGACCCGTCCCAAGCAGGTCGACATCGGAGCTCGGGCAAGGCAGCTTCAGACGCGCCGGCTCTGGACCTATGCTCTGACTTTCAGCTGCATCGCGGGGTTCATCGTCATCATCCTCAATAATTTTGAAGAGCATCTGCTGTTCTACGTGACGCCGACTGATGCGCTCGAGAAATACTCTGCGAATCCCTCGAAGAATAAGTTTCGTCTCGGTGGTCTGGTTCTTGAAGGCAGTGTGATGCATCCAGCGTCGTCTTCTCAAATGGAGTTCGTGATAACGGATTTGGTCACCGATATATTGGTTCGCCATCAGGGGTCGTTGCCGGATTTGTTTAGAGAGGGGCATTCGGTCGTGGCGGAAGGTTTTATTAAGCCATTTACCGATGACATAAGAAATGAAGTCTCTACGAAGAGTGTTTCGGGAAAAGCGAGGAGTGGGGAATATTATTTTTCTGCTACGGAGGTTTTGGCAAAGCATGATGAGAAGTATATGCCTGCGGAGGTTGCGGCTGCAATCGAGAAGAACAAGAAGAAGATCGAGGAAGGAGAATTGGGGGTGAATCACGCTTGATTCAATCGGTATAATTGTTCTCAATTCATTTTCTGATATTTGTTTCATTATACGTACAACAATATCTCGAGAGGACATGATAAATTGTTGGTAGTTCATATTTAGAATTTGCTTAATCAATATTCTTGTGAGGTAGTTACCCTCTGGATGGGGTGAGAGAGCAATTGATTTTGTTTCAATCTGAGGCATCTGACTGACATCTTAAGTTTGTCTTGTAATACCAAAATCTTTGGTGATTCCTTATTATTCTGAATAAAAGGAAATTACTTATGGATGTTATGTCCTTTTCATTTTTGGTCGTTTTTTGAGCTGGTTTCGTTATCCTTATCTTCGGTTCAGATGTAAGTATCCTTGTTTTTTTGACAAACCACCAGAGGGTGAAGGTGATATGTTACTATCCTTATATTCTGATGTCATAATTTATATTGAAAGTTCTTTCTAGCATGAAACTTATTGAAACTCGATGAGTGCAATACTCACATATGAAAAATGTATTCAATATGTTTAATAAACGTGTTATCTTTGTGGTGATATTCAAATTCTTATAGCATGTCATTACAGTTGTGTATTGTTGTATCCTTCTCACTTTTTTGTGTTTATGGCTTTTAGATTTTGGGGTTGGCAAATGTGAATGCTTTTTTGCAAAGGAGAAAACTTCATTTTCAGTATCTTTCTAATTGTGTCTTTTGCTAAAGACTTCATATTTACGAGTATGATCTAATAATGGTTCATCCTAGATATGTCTTTCCAGCATTTATCTATTTCTTTATATATTCGTTCGTACTTTCTTTTGTTCGCTGAATGGTAATACTAAGATTTTTTGTTAACCTTCTCTTCTGTGTGCTCCTTCTTGGGCACTTTTTTAAAACTTTAGTTATTATTATTTTCTTTGCCATCTTCGGGCGAAGGTGTCCTTCTAAGAGGAATCGTACCGTTCTCTATATGTGTGTCATGGCTGGAATGAAAACAAAGGGAGTCGTGAAAGAAGGATAGCTCCAAAGAAGGGAAGAGTATCCCTATAACTGATATGGAAATTCTTTTTTCTTTTTAGCCAGATAGAATGAACGCCATTTTAGAGCAATCCCCTTTGGCATTCATCAACTTCGCGTATGAGAGTTTCCCACCATCTTCGTTCTCGGAAGGTCTCTCATATTTATACAATTTCTTTTTGTCCTATAAAAGCAATGGCGGTGTATAATTTGGTAAAAGAGTTTCTAAGAAGAGGGAGATGCTTTGAAAATTTTCATTTTCAATATGTTTCATTACTCCATATTGCTGGGTATATGATTTATTGATAATCGGACGTGATAACTATGAATGGGTAAGCGTCAAAGTTGCTTTGTTTTAAGGGTCCACAGAGGCTTTAATTCAACTTCTGTTACTATCTAATACTGTCAGTTCAGATAGAAGAGTATTTTCTTATCATCATTTTGAGCTAGGAGGTTTTGTTTTTCATCTTTTGATATTGCTGCATTGGATCCTATCTGAGAAAGATATTTCTGTGTTGGAATATACATACACACACACTCACACACACACACACACACACACACACACACACACGTATATATATATTCTTGAATAATCTGCTTGATGTATGTTAATTGCTTGGACTATTTGAAATAATCCTATAGGTGTTGTCAGGGCATCAGGTGCCAATCTCTATTGTTTGAAAGGTCGGTTGTTCTTCTCCAATACTCTTTCATCACGTTCCGCTGAGCCTATTGAGAATGTTGTACTTTCTTTTTCTGAAGGCTACTCATCATCCTTACTGTTATGCATTGTTTGAGCAATTATAGATAGATAGATTGGTAGAAGGGAGAAGGATAGACATAGAACTTAGATTCATATAGATAGTGTGAGATCCCACATCGGTTGGGGAGGAGAACGAAACATTCTTTGTAAGGGTGTAGAAACCTCTCTCTAGTAGGCGCGTTTTTATTGAGGGGAAGTCCGAAAGGAAAAGCTCAGAGAGGACAATATCTGTTAGCGGTGAGCTTAGGACGTTACAGATAGACTGATAGAAGGGATAAAAATAGACATAGAACCTGGATTCATACCATTGTATACACGGCTGACTCAAGTGGATTACGCAACTTTTTTCGTTAAATGTTTTAGAACCTGGATTACTGATTTATGTTTCTAGTTAATCATCTCAAGACACTCAATGCTAATTGCGATATTATAATTTGAATTTAATGGCATTTGTTGATAAATCTCTAGCGATTAGATCCTTTACAGGAGTCTTTTTCTTCTCTTCGAAGGTTTCACTGTAAGTTCTTTGTTTTCTTAGTGTATAGAGTGACTGCAGTGTTGGAACTTTGACAGAAACCCGTTTCTTTTCTTTTTACTTGTCCTTTGTTATCATTGCCAGATTCCTACCTTAGTGTCTTAATATTTCATGCATTTTTTATGATCGTCCTCTGAAACATATTTTTCGTTCTTGGGAAACTTAATGTCGAAACGATTCTTTATTGACAATACCCCTGAGATTACATACCAAAAGCATTTAGAATCATGTCTATATGGCCAGAGCGAAAGAAAAAATAGTGCCAGCACAATGACAACAACATATACATACAAACCATCAAAATCCAATCATACTGATTGATGAGAAAGCAGGAAGATCTGGTATCTAATGCCAGAGAAGCGCAAGGAGGCTGATGAAAATCGATAGCAGAACCCCGCCACTGGAAAATGTCACCTGAAATCCAGTCCCAGCATCCATGGCAGGCAACGGTGCAAGTCCTCCACTGTCTTGAGCTCTTGCCACAGCAAGCAGAAGCACCATGGTCGCCATGAACCACCTCATCGCCCCTTGGATGCTGGATCCAGCCATTGTTAGACGCACAGCAAACTTGAAAAGAACGAGAGGAGAGGAAGAATCAAATTCAAAGGTAATATCAAATTGGTGTTGGAGATTGGATTTAGAGAAGCAATATTTATACAGGCATATGGAGATGAATTGGAGATTAAATTGATTGTGATTCATGAATGTTGAGTTTACTGATTGTTATGTTGCTTCTTTAGATGGCGTACAGCTCCTTTTGAGGATGACATATCAGCTTACTTCGCTGCTCACAGGGCCATATAATGCCTCTCCCCCAGCTAACTTGAGTAACTTTGTGGTATAAGGTAAGCATTTTTGTGTGTCTTGTGTTTTGCTCCTCATTCAATGTCCCTCTTACCTTTCTACTACTTTCCTAGCTGGTTTGCCAAGTCGGAACTCCCACTTTCTCGTCTATGACGCCTTTCTTCGATGCTAGCAACCGCATTTGACCCTTTTTTGCGCTTCTTACAATTTCCTTACATTCTAGCTTCAAAAGAGACTTGACCTTTACTTACAGAGAGGTTGCGATACCACACTCTTCTGTGCTCGTAGGTTGACTTCCCCCACTAATCAAAGAGCTAATTTTGAAGAGATTCTTCATTGATCCCGCATACGGCTCAAGTGGCGAACGCCCTTTCCATCTATTACTTTCAAAGATATCATTGAATGTGAATAGAATCTCTGTCTGCTCTCTTATTTGGTTTGCAGCTGCAAGTTCAACCGTATCTCAATCCTAGAACCTTGCATTGAGCCAACCCCAACTTTGCCAAAATACACTTAAGTACTTTCCCATGACAACTAGTGGTTGGAAATAGATTTGGAAGGGTATTATATAGTACTAAGCTTTCTTAAGTTTACCCGAGGTTTGGTTCGAGTATCTTCGGTAGCATATAGTTATAAAATTTTGACCTTAAGGGCTATTCGTTGAGTTTTATTAAATGTCATATTTAGTTCTATTCTTACATCGGTCGAATACTTGAAGATATTGATTTAATTTATAAGGTCATTACTACGTAGAAACATGAAAATATTTTAACAATATTTTTTAGAACGTATCATTGGTCACGATGGAAATGAAAATTGCATCTAGTTGCTAGAGTTGGAAACCTATTATGGGTACTATACTCGTGAACGGTATCATGTATCATTTTAATATTGACATTTTCTACGAATATGAGCATGGTTTAATAGATAAAGTTATTAATTATTATTTCATACAAAAAAAAAAAAGAAAAAAAAATTATTCTTACGATAGTTGCGATGTTATTTAATCTTCTATAAATGTTTATAAATTATTTGTTTAGTATAAATATTTTAAATTTTCAAATGAAAATTGAAATAAAGTTTCTTTTATTATATTGAAATTAATTAGCTTTATGATTTTTTTTTCTTTTTTATTTGTTAAAATTAGTAGATGAATTAGCTGAATTGAAGCCCGGCAAAAAAAAAAAAAAAAAACGTGAAGTGATGTGAGCGACATAACGTTTTCAGTTTGAAGTTTTATCGGGAACAGGTCATTCCCCTATAGACTTGCAACATTATGTAGGAAAACCTTTTCTTTTTAATAGTAGTCGTAGGGTAAAGATTTGATCCTATCTCGAGATTGAAACTTGTGTAAAGGAAGAAATAGACGTAGCAAAGTAGCCTGTGAATTCACAACGAACTAGACAAATCTAGAAGTTTTTTTTTTTTTTTAACGAATCATCTTGGAACTTTCATATGGTATATGATGCATGAAAAGTATAGATTCACCTCGCATACTTCAAACACAAATAAAATAGTGATGATTCATTGAATTCTAGGAAGTTCTTAAATTCTTACACATTCAATTTGATTAAATTAAAATTGAAATTGAAAGTTTACAAAAATTTAATTGATGAAATTCCACAGCTCATAAGGTTCTCTCTTCTTGTCGTATCAATCAGTACTCAACAGTTCTTCCTCCGGAGAAATTTTGGCTTCGGAAATGGAGATGGCGCATTACATATAGTTCTCTCTTTCTTCCTTCTTCTTCCGCTCTGGGTTTTCTTCAAGGGTTAGGGTTTCTAATCCCCCTTTGTTTTCTTTCAATTTCTCGAACGGATCCTTATCTTCGAGGATTTTGGCTCTGTTCCTTGGTTGAGAACCCTTGTTTCTAAGGGTTTTTCGTCCCATCATAAGCGGTATGAGAATTTCCCTTCCTTTTATGTGAATTTCCATGTGTTTTCTAAGCATGTATTATAACGTTTCTCCTAATTGATAGTTGGGGATCGAACAACTAGATTACTATGATACAAGTTGTTGTAATACTTGTACACATATATGAATATGGATGTCATTTATGAGCGTTGTGATGGAAGTATATATATATATATATATATTACGATCGTTTCGCTCTTGAATTTTGAATGTTCAGTACTGAATCTGTGAGTTGCTGTTGGTACTGGTCAAGACTCTTGTTGAGATGATTTGGGAAGTGTTTAATTCTTACTTGGATTGTCAGAATCATAGTTTGGTGTCAAATATTTGTTGTTTTTTCAAGTCCACGAGCATTTTGATCCAGGTTCGGTTGTGGATTCAAGCATCCTAGTATCGTTGTTTTTATGCCCCACTACATGTTGAGTTGAAAGGTTGGTTTGTAATGGATTGTCTGTTACTTTGGAGTTTATATGTTCAAGTTTTCCCGATGAGTATGGATTTAACTGAAGGGTGTTCTAGATATGAATACTGGAAAATTATGGCCATGTTTCTCATTGTTGGCATGAAACTATAAGATCTTTTGATTCTTTTGATCCTCTCTGGCTATCTTGGTTTCAGCTGATAATGTAGGAAAGCTAATTTCGATACTAACGTTGTACTTATGTTATAACGAATAACCAGTAACAGCCCAAGTTCACCGCTAGTAGATATTGTCTTCTTTGGTCTTTCCCTTCCGGGCTTCTCCTAAAGGTTCTAAAATGTGTCTACTAGGAGAGGTTTCCACACCCTTATAAGAAATGCTTCGTTTCCCTCTTCAACTAATGTGGGATCTCACAATCCACCCCCTTGGGGGCCCAACGTCCTCGCTAGCAAACTGTCCGGTGACTAGCTCTGATACCATTTGTAACCGCCCAAGCCCACCGCTAACTGATATTGTCCTCTTTGGGCTTTCCCTTCTAGGCTTCTCCTCAAGGTTTTAAAACGCGTCAACTAGGGAGGAGTTTCCACAGCCTTATAAGAAATGTTTCGTTCCCCTCTCCAACCGATGTGGGATCTCACATAACCTTTCATGACTTGTTCATGATTTTCTTCTCTTCTATAATTTAATGATTTTAACCTTGTTGCAAGTTTTTCATTTTCAGACTTGTAATAATGGCTTCTGAGACCGAGGAATTAGATTAGCCTAAGAATCGTTCTTAATCTTTTCGTATCCCTAATTAATTTCAGTACCAGTACCTTAAACATACATGAATAACATTCTTTGTTCATTGGCACCTGTATGGTTATAGAATTTGATATCTTCAAGCTCTTCACTTGATAGTACATAGTAATAGTAGCTGTATTTGGTTAGTAGCCATGGCATCATCTTGATTCCTAGTGCAGTCTTGCCTATTAAATGAAATTTATGTGTAGTTTTTGAACATGTGTATCTGTCTGTTTCCCAACCAAAAAGAACAAAAACAAATTCATGTGAATGTGTTGCAGGAGATTAAGAACATGGAACATGATGAGGCAAGCTGTCAAGCTCCCCCTGAGGGTCCCCTTCTGTGCATCAACAACTGTGGCTTCTTCGGAAGTGCAGCTACTATGAATATGTGTTCTAAGTGCCACAGGGATTTGATGTTGAAACAAGATCAGGCTAAACTGAGTGCGTCAACTCTTGGAAGTATCATGAATGGATCGTCTAGTTCTAACCGAAATGAGCCCTTTGTCACCGCAGGTGTCGTCGATGAGCCAGTTAGTTTGGTGGAGCCTAAGATCTCCTCAATGCAGGCATCTCCTGTGGTTGTTTCAGAAGGGAGCAGTGGAGTGAAGCCAAAGGACAGACCTAAACGTTGCAACAATTGCAACAAGCGAGTTGGATTAATGGGATTCGACTGTCGATGTGGTAACGTCTTCTGTGCCATTCATCGTTACTCCGACAAACATGACTGCCCTTTCGATTATCATACTTCTGCACAGGATGCGATTGCTAAAGCCAACCCCATTGTGAAGGCAGAGAAGCTCGATAAGATCTAGCGCAAATCAAGCTAAAGGGCTGGATGGAACCTTTTAATGCGTCGATCATCGACATCATCACCTAGATGATTTCTGCTTTGCTTCATGCATATCTTGTAACCTGTTGTGTATTGTTATATTTGAAAGAGGTATGGCAAAACCATGGCATCTTTGCAGTTTGAAGAAAGTGTAGGAATCGGTATTTTTCTCGTTCTTGCAACGGTTTAATGTTATCATCTTAAGCATGTTTCGTGACTGTATCGTGTCATAAGGTGTCTCGAGGAATATGTATATGAATGCATACTGCCCATGTTTGAGGCCATTTTACTCACAATCTACAAACAAGCAACCAAAAGCTAGGAAGGATTCCATATAATCAAATCTCATATTTATCAAAATTTGGGGAGAATCTTAACATGATGTTCTCTGTTTCTCCTTGAGAATTATTGTGAAGAACAGCTCTAGAAATAGCCCATATTCTCACAGATCACTTCGAACTTGTAAAAGTTAGATTGTGAGGCCGCTAGATTCAGCTTCAAGATACTTGCAAATCCTCTCCATCACTTCTCTACCCTTGACACTGTTCTGCACAAACCTCTCTGCGCACCGTTGCTCGACTTTTTCAGCCATCGATGCGAGTGCTGACAATGGCTTGATTCGAATGCTCGTCTCCTGTCTGCAAATTGTCCATCCGTTCGGATTATCTGGGTGAGGGTCATACCTGATTTTCTCCACCACTTCTATGAATTTCTGGAGACTGATATTCCGAGTGGTGAGTTGCATCGATTGCGACCAAGCATCTACAACTGTGGATTCGACACAGTGGCAGATATCCTGACCAACGATCTTACGGATAAACCATGGTCCAGGGGCATGGATGGTAATAGCACGGGTTGTATAGAGCTTCCCGGATTCTGGGTCAACCTTTCTGTTTAAGGTGTCAACTTCAAGAATATGGGATAATGTACGCTTGTTTTCGGGGTCGGTAAATTTACGCCAAGATGCACAAGTGACCCGTTCCCACGGGTGCTTGTAGGTGTACTCCTGAGAGTATGCTCTAACCATCACACTGTTCTCTGATACCTTCAACTCTCTTAATAGCACAGTTAACTAGTCTGCATATGAACAGACCGCTAAATTAATCGAACGCTTACTATTCACCGCTTAAATTAATCATATGGCTACTAATTCAGCAGGAAAGGAATTGAAAAGGGAAAACAAAAAACGTCAATGAAGATGATGGAAATGTATCAGAAGATACAATCAGGACAGGAGAAAGCACATGTCATGTAACATAGACAAAAGAAAAACATTATCCATCAGCTAAGAGTGACTACATGAATAAACTAAAGAACTTGAACATTACAGATGCATAAATCAAATCATATAGGGAACGAACAGTACTTTAATTTTATCAAGTCATTAGGTTTTGCCCAACCCAAAAGTTCTTCAAAATTCATAACAGTTCATTTGCAAAAACAAAATTTTCTGCAAACTCTAGTTTTTTTTTCTGATGGGAGGCGTTCTTCCGAAAATCAATTTGACTTAGAAACAATTTGTAACGGCCCAATTTCACCACTAGCAGATATCGTCCTCTTTGGGCTTTTCCTTTTGAGCTTTCCCTCAAGGTTTTTAAAACGCATCTGCTAAGGAGAGGTTTTGTAACAACCCAAGTCCATCGCTAGCAGATATTGTCCTATTTGGGCTTTTCCTTTCGGGCTTCCCCGCAAGGTTTTTAAAACGTGTCTGCTAGGGAGAGGTTTTGTAACAACCTAAGCCCACCGCTAGCAGATATTGTCCTCTTTGGGATTTTCCTTTCGGACTTCCCCTCAAGGGTTTTAAAACATGTATGCTAGGGAGAAGTTTTGTAATAGCCCAAGCCCACCGCTAGTAGATATTGTCCTCTTTGGGCTTTCTCTCAAGGTTTTCAAAACGCGTCTGGTAAGGAGAGGTTTTGTAATAGCCCAAATCCACCGCTAGCTGATATTGTTCTCTTTGGACTTTCCCTTTCGGACTTCCCCGTAAGGTTTTTAAAACACGGGAGAGGTTTCCACACCCTTATAAAGAATGTTTCGTTCCCCTCTCCAACCAATGTGTGATCTCACAATCCACCCCTCTTTGGGGTCCACCCAGCGTCCTCACTAGCACTCGTTCCTCTTTCCAATCGATGTGAGATCTCACACAATCATTTTACCAATTCTTTCACCTATTTGCCCAATAGATTTATTCAAGTAATTCTTATTTCTAGAGAATGAATCGAGTACCAAATCAACAATACTTCCAGATCCATCCAAATAACAAAAGAGCATAAGAATGTTCTCCCCTTCTTTGAACAACAACAGCAAGAAAAACCTCCAAAGTAACTCATGGCAATAACTTTAGAATCCAAGATGTAAGATGCAAGAAGCTCAGATACCAAAATCTATCAGTTAAAACATCTAGGCTTTGTGATTCTAACAAGGTGCCATACCGCTCAAACTACTATGATGCCATTTTCTTCCTAATCAATATTGATAGCTGTTCGTTCGACCTTGTGCAAATGACTTCAAAGACAATTTTCAAACTGCATATGGCCATCAAAACAGAGCAAACTGTAGCAACAAAGCTGAACTAGGAAAAGGGAAAAAGATGAAATGTTCTCAACAAGCTCAAATCAAACACACTCAAGTCAAACGTTTGCAAGAAAGAAAGATCAGAGTCCCATCATTACAAACAACGATCCATCAAAAGAACCGGCAGTCAAACACATGCTTCTTCTCAACCAATTCCAATAATCTCTCAAATTCATCTTTGGATTTGAATACAAAGATAAAAACACCCAACTCGGTCACATTCCACAGGCATCTAACCAGCTAGTTTAGAATTCACAAATGATTTTGGATGCATTTCTCAATCTCAATCTCAATTCTCCACAGAAATCCAACAGATAATCAAAACATATATGATGAACACACAAAACCCTTAACGATGCGCCTAGCAGAATCGAATTAAAATCAATTACAAAGAGCTAAAGAAAAGGAAAAAACAGTCCACCTGAGAGATGAAAGAAGACGGCGTTTGCAGGCGGCGGAAGAAGGCGGTACCGACAGGTCAAGATCTCAAAATCAAAACCCACGAAAGGAATGAAAAATCTCGGTAATTCAAAGCTTCAGTAAAAGGAAGACCAAAAGCATTGGACCGAGTTTAAATAATGGCGTAATTTTGTGACGAAACTGCCCTTCGCCATTGAAGCTAAAGACAAGACATCACTGCAATTCAGTATCCATACCATAAGCCCTAAAGCTTCCATTTTCAGACCTCGTTTACTAATTATAATTATAATTTATAAATAAATAAATAAATATTTTTTTTATTACACTAAAAAGAGAAAAATATTTATTTATTTACAAATAATTATTATTAAATATTTTATTGAATAATATTGTTTTGATATTTAATATTTATGAATTATATTCTAACCATTTAATTTATATTAATCAATAATAATTAAATAAGGAAAAATATAGAAAAGATTTTTCAATTATAATTTTTAATTCTAAGAAAAATTATTAATTTAAAATATAGCTCAATTATATTATTTAATAACGAGTTGAATTATAATTTATTATATTTATATTATAGAAATTCGTATGTTTATAAAATATCACGTGGACTAAAACGATATACAAAATAATTTTTATTTGAAAAAAATTTATGTTCGTAAAAAAAAAATTTAAAAATATATAATTAAGTAAGAAAAAAAGTTTTTAATAATTAAATATAAAAAATATGAATTAAATACGAGAGATAATGAGTAAATCGCGGGAATTCGAACCTTTAAAATTTTGGTCGATGGTGTATGTCTCAACCTGTTGAACTATACTTACACTGTCACGGAATTCCACGAACGTTCAAAGTTCCTCGAAAAAAAAAGGGTTATGACCCAGTTTTGTTGCAAGATACACATACAAGGGTGTAGAAGACAGCATGACAATGATTATTTTGCAGTGTTTCCTAAACTATGAGCAAAAGAACTTAGCATCCAACTGCTTCATATGCTAAGCTTGGGACGAAAATTTGAACCAGCAAATCGAGTAGTGAATTCGTCCAAACAAGCCATTCGGATTCGCTCCGGTGTAGCAGGATTATCGAGAGGAAACCAGTCGTCGTGCCCCGCCTCGTTCCTTGCAGCGGTTATGGCATCCTTGATTGCGAACAAGACTGCTGAAGCCAAAAAGAATGGAGGTTCTCCCACTGCTTTTGATGAATGGAGAGCCTTCACGTTCGGGTGACCCTGTCGAGTAATCAAAGAAACCAGTATGCATATAAACGCATCGATGAAACGAACATTAGACGAAAGATAAAACCGACCCAACCAGAAGAAATAATATTAAATTATCCCGGTAACAGCTCAAGCCCACCACTAGAAGATATTATCCATTTTGGCCCGTTACGTATCACCGTCAGCCTCACAGTTTTAAAATGCGTCTACTACCCTTATAAGGAATGCTTCGTTCCCCTACTAATGTGGGATCTCACAATCCACGGGGCCCAGCGTCCTCACTACACACCTCCCGGTATCTGGCTCTGATACCATTTGTAACAGCTCAAGCTCACCGCTAAACGCGTTTTAAAACCGTGAAACTGACAACGATACGTAACGGACCAAAGCAGACAATATTTGTTAGCAGTAGGCTCAGCTCTTACAATCCTTTAATCTAAAAGCTTAAGCGGGTGGATTACGTTCTTTCAGGAATACCCCGAGCTATGGCGTGTTTCTACGATAGAACAGTTATTTCACTCGTTTTCACGTTTTTCGAGCATACATTTTTTGCATTTAGTTAAAATGAACAAAAAGAAAATGTGAGAACATACCTTCAAGAGAGAGACATTAAATTTGAAAGGAACATCATTCATAGATGGAATTTTGTAGCTTCCAGGTCCAGCCGTGTAGAGAGCACCAGGAGCAATCCACCTATGAGCTGGATCTCCCCATTTCAACTCCTCTAGAGCTGCCCAACCCAATCCTTGCACAAATGCTCCTTCAATCTGTTGTATAAACGAACCGAAGAAAAAAGCGTTTATATGTGATTACGACGATATACTGGTTTTTGAGAACGTAAACTAAATAGTGAAATCTCGAGGCACTAAGAGAAGGTAACAACGCTGCTATATGATACGTTTAATCCATATCGACGAAAAGAATTCTCAATCCGAACAATGAAAA